TTCTCCAAATTTAATATATGAGTTATGAATTAAGGAAAGAACTTTGTCAGGAATCCGAATCTGCAAACCAAATTTCGATCCGACTTCCGGTTCGGAAGTTATGGCGTGTCCAAAAAGTAGGTCAAAATAAAAAATCTCCAAATATAACGTATGAGTTATGAATTAGGGGTAAAATTTTGTCAGGAATCCGAATCTGCAAACCAAATTTCGATTCGACTTCCGGTTCGGAAGTTATGGCGTTTTGAAATTTCGAGAAAAATCGATCTGATGGTATCCTGATAGAAAGTCAAGAGTAGAGAAGAAAATATTGAAAAATTCATCCATCCTTCCTATCTCATCCTATCCTTCCTATCTATCCTTCCTTCGTATCTTTTCCTTCCTATCCTATCCTATCCTTTCTATTCTATTCTATCCTATCCTTCTTTCTTATTCTATCCTATTGTTCTTTCCTATTCTATCCTATCCTACCTTCCTATTTTATGTATCCATCTTTTTCTGGATGACTCAGCTTATTCTGGATGACTCGGCTTATTCTGGATGACTCGGCTAAAAAAAGTCTAGATCTGGAGTCTGAAATTGAACTTCGTTCAATTTCCAAAATCTAGTTATTATTCTAAGCAAGTTTTCTCAATAACCGTAAGGTTTTCAGTAAAGTCAGTCATTTGGTCAATTTAGGTCCAGAATCTAGTTCCTCGGAAATTGGGTCAAATTTTTATCTAGGTCAAAAGTCAAGGACTAGGTCAAATCCAGTACTTTGTCACTTTTTTCGATTTTCTCGGTCGTCCTTCAATATTTTCGATCCGTTTTTTTTTCATTGTGTTCCTTATAAAAAAGTAGGAACCTAGGTTCGATTTAGTTTTTTGATATCTCAAAGCGATTTTGAGATATCAGTGTCCGAAAACGAGGTCCAAAAAAAAGTTCTCTGAATCAAATGTCCAGGATATTAATCTTATAGGAAATTTTCTCAGGATTCTGAATCTGAAGACGAAATTTCGATCCGACTTCCGGTTCGGAAGTTATGGCATTTTGAAAACTCAAAAATCGCTAAATTTGGTGCCCATGTTAAGTCAATGGGAAAAAATATTTTTTTGAAGTGAAAAAAACGGAAAAAGACTGAGTCCAGCTTCATATAATCAAAGCCTTTAAAAGAAGGGGACCTCAAAAGCCATCTAGCTTTAAAATTTGGACACCGAAATGCCTAGGTCAAAATCTAGGTCAAATTCATAGGTTTTCCTTATTTTTTCAATTCTGACACTACACTATAATTATATTCTTCGAAATTGTGTATACATGTAGCCAAGAATATGCTTATAGTGTTAGCCTTTTGTCGTCAGAAAGTATTTTGACCCACTTTTGAGATATGGTGTCCGAAAAGTAGGTCAAAATAAAAAGTTCTCCAAATT